GGTTCTGTCGTCGAAGTAGTCTGGCTGGGACTTGTACAGCACCCGGTCGAGCTTGCTCTGCACGAAGGCCTTCTTCATGTCGAGCTGCATCAGGTTGAGATCGAGGACGGGGATGATGCTGAGGAAGATCCTCAGCATGACGTAGCTGCCGACCGGCGCAAACATCTCGTTGTAGTTGGCGCCATACACCTGGGTGAAGCCCTTCACGATCAGCCTCGCCTTCTTGTGCTCGACGGTGTCGTCGATGTGGTACTTCGTCGCCAGCACCCACTGGTTCTTCATGATGTTCACACCCGGCGGGCATTCGACCAGCTCTCACGTGCCTATGTTGATGAGGCTGCGGATCTCCTCCTCCAAGGCGGCCTTCACCAGCGGGCCCTTCCAGCTCGCCAACGCCTCCTTCACTGTCATCGTCGAGATGTCCCAATGGTGTTTGGGGCTGGCATGCATGTCGGGGTCGAGCTCGGAAAACTCCTCATCGTCCTTGGCGTCGTCGTATAGTCGGTCATCGTCGTCCACGTCGTACACCGTGGTGAAGGCAGCGGGGACAAAGAATTCGGCCCGACTACCGAGGTCCAGGCTAAACCTCCACCACATCGCTGTCGGTGTACTCGTCGGCGTCCCCCCCTTTGTTACCGGCTTTGCTGCCCTCAGCGACGTGCTGTTCCCCGATCGGCGTCTCCGTCTACTACTCCCCTGCGGTCGGCTCCCCTGCCGATTGCCTGATCGCCGACTGTTCCAGCGTCAGCTTGGCCGCTGCCTACTCCCCTGCCGGCTGCTATTTTGCAAGTGCCTCCTTCGCTGGCTTCACCAAAGTCGGCTGCACCACCTGCTGCGTCCCGATCGGCGTCAGCTTCGCTCCTACACCAACTTGCAGAGCATCACATCGGCCACCGGCGATGGTTGGGGCTGGCGCCACAGGTGACGCCTCACTTCTCCTCTCATCGCCAGAGGTCAACGTAGGGGTCAGCCCATGCAAGTCGGCAACAAGGGGATGGGCTGGTGAAGGGCCGGGAGTGGGGACGTCCTCACCTGCAAGCTCACCGACCTTGGCCAGCAGAGGTAGCGTCGCCGTCGAGGTGTCCGTTGGCGGGTGAACTGGTGTCCGCCCTGACGCCAGCCCGTTCTCCGACTTCCACACCTCCAGCGACATGTCCTCGTAGAATACCATGTCCGACGTGGTGACCACCTGGTTGTTGCTAATGTCAGGATTTCCCAGCCCTTGCTGTCCTCCGACACACTGAGATGAAGGCCGCACCGAGCCTTTGGCTGCTGCTTTCCACCACGCTGCTGCTTGAGGACGAGGAACTGCACCATGCAGCCCGACGCGCGTGCCAGTGACAAGTTCGGCTTCATCCCGGTGAGCAACTGGTACGGCGTCGTCCTCGGCGGCAGCGTCGACCTCTCCAGGTAGTTGCGGACCTAGACAGCCTGTCGCAGAGTGAGGTGCCACCAGTGGTGCTGCACGCCCATGTGCAGCAGCATCATTTGCACATACTCCACCACCGTCCTCATCTCCCGCTTCACCATGCCGTTCTGCTGCGAGGTGTACGGGCAGGTAAGGTTGTGGACAATCCCCTTGCCGTCCCCAAAATCGGTGAACACCCGTTCGAGGAACTCCCCTCCTTGGTCGGAGCGTAGCATCAGCACCAACTTCTTCACTTGCCACTCCACCAACACCAGCCACTTTTGGAACTCCAGCAGCACGTCCGACTTCTTTTCGACTGGCTGCACCCACACGTAGCGGGTCTTCGGTCCTTCAGCAGCAAGAAGTGCAGGCTGCCATCCTTGGCAGCCACGCGAAACGGCCAGCACAAGTCGATGTGCACGATGGCCAGCACGTCGTAGGCGTCGGAGCCCTGGTCCCGGAAGGTGTGCCGTGCCAGCTTCCCACCGACACAGGAGACATACGTTGAGTCGGCGCACGACGCCGTCTTGAGGTCCAGCCCAGTGGCGACCTCGTGCTTTGCCGAGCTCCGTATGGTGTCCATGCCGGCGTGCGCAAGCTTCGCACGTAGCCTGTTTGGCGTCAAATTCGTCGTTAAGACTATCGCCCGCAAGGTTACAACCTCCGTGGTGGGCGACGTCGACCTCGTCGAGCAGGGGCGCAGGTCGTTGCAGAGGACATGCCCGGTGTACATCGCTCGACCGAGCACCTCTCCCGCCGCCGAGACGAGCAGCATCCTGTCGCCGTCCTCCTGCAGCTTAACGTCGCTCTCCTTCAGCTGCCCAGCCGAAAGTAGGTTCGTTCGCACACCCGGGACGTAGAGCACGTTGGGGATGAGCACCTGCTTTCCGGTCTCGCCTTGTAGAGTGACTATGTAGCAGCCCTGGACGTCCTGTAGCACCCCATTGATGCCGCGCACGTGCTTGAGATTGCTGCTCGGCTTCAGGTCGACGAAAGACTCCTTCGTCCCCATCAAGTGGTGGGAGCAGCCAGTGTCAAGCAGAACCACCGCCGGGTTTGCTTGCACAGCTGCCGCCACAGCTTGGAAGTCCTCGCCAGCCTCCGGTGCCAAGGATGGCAGCCTGCACCTCGACGCCGGCCAGCGGACTTCTTCTTGTCGGCGTCCTTGGACGGCTGCCAGCCACTGCTACCATCGCCGCTAGACTGCACACGCTGCCCCGGTCGACCACCCTGCTTCGCTGGGGCGACGTAGTTCACTTGCGCCAGGAGCTCCTGGGACCGCTCAGCCTCCTGCGTGGCTTCGTCCTGCAGGATGTACGAGGTCAAGGTATCCTGGTTGAGCGTCGCCCGCGTGCTCGGCGCCATTGACAGCCGCTTTAGTAGGTTGTAGCTGCTCGGGAGTCCCTGTATGACGTGCGTGACGTATGATGCCTTCGAGTACTATGCGCTGGCCATCCTGATGGTGGTGAGAGTTCGCCGAGCCCAGTTGCAGTAGTCCGTCGCGGTCTCCTGGTCGCTCATACGGAGGTGCGTCAGATGCCTCTCAAGCTAGGTGATGAGCAAGTCGCCGTTGACTTGGTAAGTCGACTCGATGAAGTGATACGCCCGGTGGCCGGCGTCTAGGTGTTACCTGCATGACTCCAGGGCGATCTGCACGCCCGATGAGCAGCACCGCGAGATGACCGCGAAGGTCAGCAGCTGCTTGGCGCGGAACTCCGCACGCAGGTCGGGGTCCTCCGGAGTCGCCACAGTGCTTCGAGCTAAGCTGATCAACCCGGCCATCTCCTGCCGGGACTCGATGGCTTCCTTCCATGTGAGAATGTCGGGTCGACCGACCAGCAGGGGAGTGACCAAGATCCTGTCCGACGTAAACTTGAAGTAGCCATAGCTTGGCGCAATCCCGCCCGCCATCACCTGGGACGCCGAGATCGGCGACTGTCTGCTTCGACGCCCTCCAACGTTGCCCTGCAAGGAGCCTGCTGCCGCCGCCGACTGCATCCCTCGCGCCTCAACGCCGTCGATTTCGTCGGCGTGAATCACACCACGCTGCCTCCACGCACCTCCCGCGATGTTGCCGACTTGGCCACAACCGGCGTTGACGCCCACATCGACGCCACCGTCGTTGTTCACCGGTCGAGGAGAAGCACGTCGGTGCTCCGTCGCCCACATGGTGCGGAGTCTAGCCTCAGCGACCGCCTAGGGAATCTCTCCGTTCTCCTGGGCCTCATGGCGTCTCCTCGCGTCCTCCAGCTGTGCCTCTGGGGTGTCCATCACCTCTGTGTCACCTACGCGCACGCTAGTGACAGCACGGCTGCCGGTTTGCGAACAGGATAGGTCAGTGCAAAGTCGACTAGACTGAAATACGTCGCGGTAACTAGTACAACTGGAGCTAGGCTTCAGGCTAGGCACGGGGCAAGAGTGATCTTTGCGTTCGTTCACTTAGTCGTTTACTCGTGCTTGCAGTAATTGCTGATTCACGGGGTAATTTGGCAAAAGTTTCACTAGCAAAAGTTCACAGCAATGATAGCAACAACATTGGCATGCAAGACTGCATCAGGCCTAGCAAAGCTGCAGGTCGACCTCCAGCAGCACGGTTGACCACGTGCCAGCACGACTTGGTAGACCGCACTCGAGGAGAGCAAGGTCGCGGCTTGCCAACGTTGCACGTCCACGGTGTGCCAACAATGCAACAAGTCGGCTGCACAACGTTGCACTCGCAAGACAACGGTGCAGCTACTTCATAGGTGTGCGCAGCTGGTTGGTGCGCCACTCCTTGTCACGAGCGCAGCGCAGACGCCTGGCAACCTCCACGCCAGCGACTCCGCCCACCAGCCACGTCGACCTCGGGATACCACCCCCGAGGTCGGCCTCGCAGACTCCACCCCGTCGACACTCTCACACGTTGCCTGGGTATCCCGGTCGATCGGAAAACCACACCTGGTCTACTAGCTCGGTCGGTCGCCGACTACACAGGCCCGGCTTCCCTAATGTTCGGCGCCCACCACCTTGGCGTACTACTCCTCGACGCCCTCCAGCTCGGCAGCCCCAGTCTCTCCTATTGAGGTCGATGTCGGCCCCTCCTTCATCGACCACACCGCCCTGGTCGACCACCTCCTGGTCGGCAAGTCGACGCCCTACACAGGTCGACCTCCCAAGTCAACCTCCCCGAAGTCGGCGCCCTTGCAGTGACCCCGTGCAGGTCGACCAACCCCGTCGACCAGTCCGCCCACTTTTGCAGGTCGGCTGCTCCCCTCACACCCGACCACGTGGTCGCCTCCGCTCAAGCGAGGACGGGGCCACACCCAACTCCCGTTGACACCATAGAGGCCAGCAAGGTGAGTGTGGGATGCGTAGACAGGTGGCAATGCCAACTGTGACCACACTTCACTGTGGTGGAGTGTGGTGGAGTGTGGACATGTAATGTGGAGCATAAGGAGAAGGGAAGGTGCAACTACTGAAAATTGAACCCACGATCTATAAGACCAAAGGTGAAAATCTACCTTCTGGGACATACTTGCTGCACAACACCTTCTCCCTAGCCGTGCCTTCTCCCTACCTGTGCCTACTCCCTACCCGTGCCTTCTCCCTACCCATGCCTTCTCCCTACCCGTGCCTTCTCCCTACCTGTGCCTTCTCCCTACCCATGCCTTCTCCGTACCCGTGCCTTCTCCCTACCCGTGCCTTCTCCCTACCCGTGTCTTCTCCCTACCCGTGCCTTCTCCCTACCCGTGCCTTCTCCCTACCCGTGCCTTCTCCCTACCCGTGTCTTCTCCCTACCGGTGCCTTCTCCCTACCCGTGCCTTCTCCCTACCCGTGCCTTCTCCCTACTCGTGCCTTTCCCCTACTCGTGCCTTCTCCCTACCCATGCCTTCTCCCTACCCGTGCCTTCTCCCTACCCATGCTTTCTCCCTACCCGTGCGTTCTCCCTACCTGTGCCTTCTCCCAACCTGTCCCTTCTCCCTACCTGTGCCTTCTCCCTATTTGTGCCTTCTCCCTACCCGTGCCTTCTCTCTATCCGTGCCTTCTCCCTACCCCTTCTTCCTACCCGTGCCTTCTCCCTACTCGTGCCTTCTCCCTACTAGTGCCTTCTCCCTACCCGTGCCTTCTCCCTACCCGTGCCTTCTTCCTACTCGTGCCTTCTCCCTACTCGTGCCTTCTCCCTACCCGTGCCTTCTCCCTACCCGTTCCTTCTCCCTACCCGTGCCTTCTCCCTACCCACGCCTTCTCTCTACCAGTGCCTTCTCTCCACCCGTGCCTTCTCCCTAGCCGTGCCTTCTCCCTACCCGTGCCTTCTCCCTACCCGTGCCTTCTCCCTACCCGTGCCTTCTCCCTACCCGTGCCACTTTCTTGCCCGTGTCGCATTCCTTCCCATGCCCCTCTCTTGCCCATATCTGTGTCCTACCTATGCCTATTTCCTGCCCGTGCCTATTTCTCGGTCGCCTCTCTTGCAATTTGATCCATCTCAAATGGCAGTTTCCGTGCTTCACAGTTCTCTTGCACATGCTGCTCTTTGTCGCGCACTTCCCTCATATCCTCCCTTGACCCTTTCCTCGCTCGACTTCCCATGGCGGCAGGAAAATGTTGAAAGTGACAATGCCGCTGTGCGGTCACGGGCAGGAAGTCAGGTGTGGCGATGCGGTCGCCACACTCACCAACCCCAAGCGCTGCACGGCTCGCTACGGAGCCTCCCTCTCAGACTCCTGCAGCCACGCCTGCATCTCACCGTGCGGTCACTGCATCGTTGCCCCAGCTGCTAACACCGACCAAGGCCTGGGCTTGCTACAGCACCAGCAGCGGTTGGAGAGAAAGCACAAGGAATGCAAACGCGACCTCCCCTACGGCCACCTCTGCCGGGACCCCTGCCACCTCGACAAACCCTGTAAGCCCTGTGCCAAAAGGTGCCTCGTGGTGTGCCAACACAGTTCCTGCCCCCATCCCTGCCACCCGACCTGCTCCGCATGCGCCGAGGCTTGCGAGTGGAGCTGCAGGCACCAGGGTCGGTGCTCCCAGCCCTGCGGTGCCCCCTGCGACCGCCTGCCATGCGAGCAGCGCTGTGAGAAACGGCTCATTTGCGGCCACCAGTGGCCGTCTCTAATAGCCAAGAAGTGCCCTTCCCAGGCGTTTTGTATGGTGGAAGGTTGTGGGTCGATGAAGAAGAGGGAGATGAGAGTGGATCGCATCACATGGGAGACGCTGGGGGAGATTGATCCCAATGAGAGCCCTGTGCTCGTGTTGCCATGCCAACATGCTTTCACCGTTGAGTTCCCGACGGCTACCTGGGGCTCAGCCAGGTCTACCATGAGTTGAAAATTCCCCTCGGGATAGGCTCCAAGGGAGAGCCTTCTTGTGCATTAAATCTACTCTGATGGTGACGTTGTTCGAGCAATTTTCAAGTAGGTAGATCTTTTGGAGAGGAGGTTGACAATCTCTGTTGTGGTATTTGAAATTTGCGTCTGATAAATACTTGCTTTCACGGAGCCAGTGAGACCTCCTCGTGGAACGATCTAGGTTCCTGAACTGCTGCTGGTTTGCTGGAAGAGGGAGGGCACCACATTCGAGTCGCGGCCGAACGCGCATGCTTTACTGTGGAGAAGTGAACTGGACTGAACTGAACCAAACTGAACTGAACTGAATATTGAACAAATTGTAGAGAATTGAGATAAGGACAAAAGAGTATGATTGCACAACAGAATAAGACAAGAGTGAATAGTGGAATTGTAGCAAATGAGGATGAGCTTGATAGAAGAGAAGATGATACTTAGAACTTGTGACTATAAAGAGAAACTTGTGTAAGGTGGAATGCTTGATGAGATAAGAACTCAAAAAATAGAAAGAGAGCATGAGCTTGTTGAGAGAATAAGATGTCAGAATGTTATTTGTCTAGCTTGCAGTGGGGTGCTCAATAGTGAGTACAACCCCTTAGGGTTTGCCATTTTGTGTGTCCTGCTGCTTCCTAGTCCCTCATTCTTCCTTCCAATTCTCCTTCGTAAACCCTAACTCCTAGTTCTAGAGCAAGCTCACCTACCTCCTAGTGTGGGCCTAGGCTACTAAGCCTAGGCCCCACACCTACTATTCTAACATGGTATCTAGAGCCGGCATGATCCTGCCGCCTAGTTCATCGGGCCCACCACCTACTTCCGCTGCCGTACTATCCGCCGCGCGCCCCGTGGTGCGCGGCATTGCATTTTCATCCCGCCACGCGCTTCGAACGCGCGGCAGCTTTTTCTGCCCGCCGCGCGCTCGGGGCGCGCGGCGGTTTTCCCGTCCGTCGGAGCGCCCTCGAGGGGGCCTGCGCGCTGCCCTCCCCGCTGCTCGTCACGGCGCCCCCTGCGGGACCCGCGCGGCGTCGCCCTACTCGTCGCGACGTCCGTGCGGGACCCGCGGGGCGTCGCCCCTGCTCGTCGCGACGCCTCCTGCGGGACCCGCGCGGCGTCGCCCTGCTCGTCGCGACGTCCGTGCAGGACCCGCGGGGCGTCGCCCCTGCTCGTCGCGACCCCCCCTGTGGGACCCGCGGGGCGTCGCCCCTGCTCGTCGCGACGCCCCCTGCGGGACCCGCGGGGCGCCGTCAGATCCTGCAGCAGCAGCCGCCGCCGCCCTGCAGCAGTAGCCGCCGCCAGGCCTGCAGCAGCAGCCGCCGCCAGAGCCTGCAGCAGCAGCCGCCGCCAGAGCCTGCAGCTGCCGCCGCCGCCAGAGTCTGCAGCAGCAGCCACCGCCAGAGCCTGCAGCAGCAGCCGCCGCTGAGCTTGCAGCAGCAGCCGCCGCCAGGCCTGCAGCACCTGCCGCCACCGAGCCTGCAGTAGCAGCCGCCGCTCTACCAGCAGCAGCAGCCGCCGCCGCTCTGCCGCAGCAGCCACCGCCGCCCATCAGCAGCAGCCGCCGCCAGAGCCTGCAGCAACAGCCGCCCTTGGTCCCTGGAGCAGCTGCCCCTGGTGCAGCCGCCGCTGGTACAGCCGCCCCTGGTCCCAGGAGCAGCCGACCCTGCAGCAGCCGCCCCTGGTCCCTCGAGCAGCAGCCCCTGCAGCAGCCGCCCCTGGACCTCAGAAGCCGCCCCTAAACCCGGTTCGCTATGTGCTGCGCGTGCCTGTGCTGCCCGTACGTGTGCTGCCTGTGCCTGTTGCTGCCCGTGCTTGTGCTGCCTGTGCCTGTTGCTGCCCGTGCCTGTGCTGCCCTGTGCTGCCTGTGCCTGTTGCTGCCCGTGCCTGTGCTGCCCTGTGCTGCTTGTGCCTGTACTGCCCGTGCTTGTGCTGCCCGTGCCTGTGCTGCCCGTGCCTGTTGCTGCCTGTGCCTGTGCTGCCCGTGCCTGTGCTGCCCGTGCCTGTGCTGCCCGTGCCTGTGCTGCCTGTGCCTGTTGCTGCCTGTGCCTGTTGCTGCCTGTGCATGTGCTGCCCGTGCCTGTGCTGCCCGTGCCTGTGCTGCCCGTGCCTGTGCTGCCTGTGCCTGTTGCTGCCCGTGCCTGTTGCTGCCCGTGCCTGTTGCTGCCCATGCCCGTGCCTGTGCTGCCCTGTACAAAAGTGGCAGCGCTGTTTAGTAGTGGTGGGTACAGAAGTGGAACATCTCTAGCAAAGTCCGATTTTGCCTTGTGAAACCTCGGCACTAATACTTGTCCTTTTGTGACTTGACATTTTCGGTCTAATTTCCTCATACATGTTTTTTTTTTTAATAGTCAGCAATGCCTGGGCCACACCCATGATTAGGGGTGATGAGAAAGAAAGTATGTATGTGAGAAGATAAATCCAGATTTCACCACTCCCTAATACCAAAATTGAATGCTCTCAAAGGAATCGCCTCATGGCTGTTATATTGTGCATGAGGGAACTTGTGGGTGCTTCGCATCAGGCCAGGCTGGGCCGTCACATGGCGACAGCCTTGGCCAGTACGCGACTCGCTGCAATGCACTTTGCTTCTGAATTTTCCACACCGTGGCGTGATTTATCTGCGCATTTCAGATCGGTAACTTACGTTACGTTGTGGTTAATTTGACCCTGCCTGAAGAGCGCGACTCGATGCAACCTCATTTGCGTAGAGAATTGAGATAAGGACAAAAGAGTATGATTGCGCAATAGAATAAGACAAGAGTGAACAGTGGAATTGTAGCAAATGAGGATGAGCTTGATAGAAGAGACGATGATACTTAGAACTTGTGACTATAAAGAGAAACTTGTGTAAGGTGGAATGCTTGATGAGATAAGAACTCAAAAAAGAGAAAGAGAGCATGAGCTTGTTGAGAGAATAAGAGAGGTAATAAACACTTACTTAAGTGAATCTTACTAGGGATAGTTGTAGAGGTGACTTGTAGGAATGGCTTGGTCTTGAGAGCTTTACTTGAAGAAGAACATCAAGCTTGGTGTTGGGTGATGAGCCTTCCTCAAGCTTGTAGGTAGTAATGAACCTTATACTCAAGTAGAGTATGAGGTGACTACTCTTCATTTGATGCTTAACTTTGTGGACTAATGAGAGACACTTTGTGAGCATAAACTTATATTGAAAGAGGTATAGTACAAGCCGTATAGATCCATGAGGGATACATAGGCATGCATAGAGAGAGTAACCATCAATGGTAGCCTTGGAAGAGAGTTGCATGAGAGTATCAACTTTGGAGACATAGAACTTGGTTGCTAGTGAGGAGCCTTTGTAGTAGAAGAGGAGCTTGAAGGAGAAGCTTGGAAATGAGCTTGGTGAAGAAGCTTGGAATGCATTATTGTCATTGAAGAACCTTCTTGAGAAGTTGTAGAGATGCTTGATGTAGATGAATAGTATTGGAGCATGTGATGGTGGTTGAGCACTTGATGAGTTGGAGATATAAGCCTTGTTGAGTTGGAAGAGAGCTTAGTGAGTTGGATAAGGATGAGTGGAGGAGATGATGAGCTTTGTTGCCTTGTAATAGGAGGTGATGGGATAATCATGAAGTCCTTAGGGATGAGGTGGCAACTTTGGTGACTTGGGAAAGGAAGGAAGGAAGGAAGGAAGGAATAAATGAGAGGCATTTGGAGGTTGATGACTGGGAAGTGGAAGCATGTGCTTGAAGCCACATGGGAGGTGGATAATTGGAGGAGGTAAATGACTTGGGTAAACTTTGATGAGTAGGAAAGGAAAGCACATGGAAAATCATGAGGAGTCATGTGCCTTATGGTGGGACTTGAGGATGAGTATGGGAAGTTGGTTTGAACATTGGTTGAGTTGGACTAGGAATGGCTATGGTGGTTGGGAGTAGTTAAAGAGGTGGTTGATAGGCTTGAGTTGGGGAAGATGAGTTGGGAAAAGGAGTTTGTAACTTGAGTGGCTGGAATAGGCTTTGGAGGAGTTGAGTGGTTTGGATGGGTTCTTGGGAAAATGTGTCGAGGGTGTTTTGAGGGGAAGGGGTTGGAGTGGCACAGTAGCGTGGCACGTGAAGAGCGTGCCATTCACAACACCCCCCCTCACTGCAAGCCCGTACCCTCAAATCCGACTGTTGGGACTAACCTGGCTTGAACTCGGTTGTTGATGAAGATGTCACGTGCAACGACCTTGGTGAGGAAATCTGCCGCTTGCTCACTCGTGCGGCAAAACAGGGGCTCAATGATTTTCTGCTCCACAAGCTCCCGGACGTAGTGGTACTGCGTCGCGATGTGCTTGGTCCTCCCATGGAAGACTGGGTTCTTGGTGAGAGCGATCGTCGACGTGTTGTCGATGAAGATGGGAGTAGGGCTCTCTTGTGGGAGGTCAAGCTCCTTCAATAGGCCTCTTATCCACACTGCTTCTCGAGCTCCTTGGGTCGCGGCCATGTACTCTGCCTCCGTGGTAAATAAAGCCACACAACTCTGCTTCTTTGACTGCCAAGAGATGGCTGCCCCTCCAAGCATGAAGATGTATCCTCCAGTGGACCTGCGAGTAGGGATATCTCCAGCCCAATTTGCATCCGTGAAGCCATACAGCATGCTTGCACCCTCAAACCCTTGAAAGAGGAGACCAAAAGAAGAGGATGATTTGAGGTAGCGCAGGGCACGAAGTGCCCCACGCTGATGCATGCGAGTGGGTGATGTCATGCATTGAGAGAGCATGGCAACGGTATGGGCAAGAT